TCTCATTCAGCACGTGCAGCCGAAAGTGAGAATGGAAGCATACCTTTCTTTGACCCTGAGAAAGAGAACTGATGAAGCAAGCAATGAAGAGGTGAAGCAGTGGCACCGTTGGCTGAACAGCCATTTCGCCCTCATCGCAGAGATCCACATGGATGTAAGGAAGAAAGATGATGAAATCAAGAACCTCACCAACCAGCTTCTGGTTCATGAACTTGCAGGTGATCCACACCGTCGCCAGGTGGAACGATTTCGAAACAATGAGATCATCGAAAAGATGCAGCAAACAGCTCTCACCTATGACCATGAAAATGATCAGATGAAGCGCCTTGAAGGATGCACACATGGTGCATGGATGTTCGTCAGCACCTACGAGGATGAACTGAAGACATGAGAGCCGGGCCCCTTTTGAATGTTTTCCGCAGGCCGATTTCATGTGGAGATTTTCTTTAAGCTTCCACCGGTCTGATTGCAGTTGACACTTTCACCATTTCATGACCATTTAATGTCCAATTTACCGCGGCCGCCAGGGCCCTTGAGTACCATCTAGCTGCTACGACCCCCTCGTTAGGCAGAAAACAGGTTCCAGACTTCGTGCGCTGTTCAACCTGGACACTTTGAGGATTCAGATTGATATTGGCAACATCCGACCTAGCTTGAAGCGTGCAATGCCTGCAAAAACACACGATCAACTTGATGAGAATGAATGAGTCTTTGAGTTTATTGGGGATATTCTTTAGATTTCCAACATGTCTTTTTGCCTGCGCAGCATCTTGCGCGCGAGGAACGTACACACTCCCATCACCGGATCTGGCCCTACCCTGGACATTGCCAAGGCCCCTTTGGGTGAGCCATGACACCCCGGAACTGGCAAGCCTGAGGATCTAATGAACCGTTCAATCCACGTTGACATCTTGTAGACACCGACGACGACTTGATAACCAGCAAAAAAGAACCAAATACACCAAGTAATTGATTGTGTACAATCAACGCATGCTCCTGCGCTTCACATGCAACTTGTGAACCCAGGCCCACCTAGTGGAAGCACATTAAGCATTATCAATGCGCACATTCTCGCAACACAAAGCCAAAGTTCCACTCACGATTCACACCAATAGGCTCCTGTCCAAAAACAAATGCCCAGAATTTCACGTGTGCCAACAAGTTTGCCCCTTCCGAAACAAATTGTATCTTCTTGGTCTGTGATCTGGGAAGGACGTTTCAGCTTTTGAGCGTAGGCAGACAAGGCTCCACATTTACTGCCGGCAGGAAAGTGGTCTCAGTAAGCTCACAAAAAATCCACAGCAGCTCACCACAAAAATCTGCCTACTAGGGACTGGCACCATTGCGAGTTCACCAAGCAACAAGTGTTGTGTCTTTGCCGGACAATGCTGTCTTCAAAGTGTGAACCTTCTCAATTTGCCACTCGAGCATGCCAACACGGCGTTACGCTCCGGAACCTGCCCTCAAGTCTGTCAGCAAGTCAGCGCGTGACCCATGCCAGCGCGCCAGCATAACAACATGTCAGCGTGACGCAGTGAGACACAGAACTTGCTCCAAAGCTTGCCCCAGAACTTCTAGAACGAAGCTCCGGAACCTCCTCCACGACCTCCTCCGAAACTTGCCCCGGCACCTGCTGACCCAACTTCCCCTGCTCCAGAACCTCCGAAGACCCCTAAGCTGCTCTGTAGGGGAAAAACACAATAAGCTGACCGATACCTGGACCGATGTTTGCCACCAGCCGCCGATGTTTCTCACTGACTCCCATGGATTTGTTCGCGTCGGAGTCACTCTATCACTCCTCGCTGAGGTCCAGGTCCCGGATCATGCTGGTCACGCTAAGCTTCTCGGAAATCATCTTTTCGTGGCCGAGCCTGAAACTGCGTATGTCGTCGGATGTTTCCAGGGAGGGCTATAGAAAACCAGGAACAGTTGTAGCATAAGGGGGTGTGGAAGATGGAATGGAAGCAGTGGACAATACTATGATGGATTGATGGATGTGTTGTTCGGCAATTGATCATGCATGTCGACGGTTTCTAAGGTCAATCGCACCTCAGCCTTACCACACCAGTGCTTGGAAGGGTGCTGGATGTGGCATGAGCAAAACGACCCGCATCCTAAGAACAAAAAGGCATGCAACCATGAAAAAAACATTCTCTCTCTCTCTCTCACACACACACACACGCCCATTACAAGACTTGCGCCCACGCGTTCATCCCCAAACATAACAACGATGCAAGCAGTGCTACGGCGTTTTTGCGACGTTTCTTGCCTCAACAAGCAGTCAACAACAACCAGGAGAAGAATAAGTTACCCGCCGTCCCTTCAGCAAAGCTAACTGGCTGCTTTAGACCATATTTTACGGTAGATGCAATAATCCATGATGCCGCTCAGTGCCTTCGGCGCCGCCAGAATTGTCATTCATATAGATCACACATGCACGCATCTATAAAGACAGCTGTTCAATAACTTGTTGTTCTTCTACTAGAACTCAAGGAACCTCCGGCAGCTCTGGTATTTTCTCATCGTCCAAGCGCTCCGCATAGACCTGGCTTCGATTTGCAAAGAGCATGCTGTCTACTCGATCATAGTTTGTTTGGACATATCAGGAGACGTTAATTGGTTTATGTGTATGGTTTCCTTTGTTCACAACAACTTCACTCTTCACTCCATTTCAGCAACAAGATCTGACTGTGCGGATTGCAAACAGCGTTGGGATTCTACAAGTGGAAACTGAGGCAGTGACTGTGCGGCCTTTCGTCCTCATGATGAACTTTTTGGGTGAGGCTCCAATCCTCGCTGCAAGGCGTGCTCCAGCACCCGAAACCAAACATATTCTGGCAACACTTTAGGCACGTCAAAACACCTCACACATTTGTCTTTGGGTGGTTCAACAACAATTAGAACGTAATACAGTGATAACGGATAATGAAGCAATGATCGATAGTCGTTGAGGCTCTTGTTTTGGCTCGACCTTTGGCCTAGAGTCTGGGATGGTCAAACTAGAACTCTGAAACTGATATCAACACAGTGGCAGATCCTCATGTTGAGACGACACGATGTGAAACTCACTTCGCTACTCCCTATGCTCCGCCATTCCAAAAACTGAATGGTCCTTCCTTTCGCTATCTGAGCCTTTGGGCTCCGGGCGGCCATGGATCTCCACCAGGGTTTGTCAGTAAAGGCATTGCCTGAACCAAAGGTAAGACGAGGCTCTAAACCAGCTGAAACCACACCTTTTGACCGAACTTCTATAGATTTCCAACTGCGCAGTTAATAAACGTGCCCCCGAACAATGCTTTCAACATGACACATAGAGTGCCACCATGTGCCACCATGGACCATGCATGGCCGCGCGCCTTCGGCAAGTCCCGGTGCTCGTCAACGAAACTCACAGCGTTGGCCTGAAGAAAAAGACTTGCAAACACCTTGGACGCTTGGAACCTGCTGCTTGCAGGTTTACCCAAAACCAAGTAAAAAGAAACAAGGTAAACGAATCTGATGGAAACTAAGTGGGCCAACATGGTCCAACCAGCTGCTGCACTTCAAAAACAAACTTATCGAAGCTTAACCTGGCCAGGACAAGCCAATCTGCAGCTGCTTGAAATTCGACTGCCACAAAACCCAAGTGCAGTAAAGCCGGTGAGAGCAAGAGGGAGGGTACCAAATGGCACCAGTACGTTGTTTGTCAACTTGGACTGACGGACTGACCTTCTGAAAATCACCAAGATCACATCTGAAAAATCAAAGGCGCCTCCAAACATTCTCAAGCTATGCGCCAAGCATTCTACAACTGCTTGAGGCCTCCATCTGCACCTTCTCATTCTTCGGCTTGGGCTGCGTAGCAGCCTGCAAACATACTGCAGCTGAAGCTGGAACCTGCTTTCTACTGATTCGGGAGAGAACTTGACTTTATAGGTCTCTTTTCATCGCCCCTTGATCATCCCTCTAAACAACCACTGGCAGGCATAGCAAACCTTCTGTGCAAGACCAAAATATAGTCTTCCAGTGCCCATTTTGAGTCATGCTTACGGACCAGGCCTGCCCCTTAAAAAGCATTGCTCCAAAGCGGGCGTCCACTTCCAAACCTAACATGCCAGGTCGAACAACTGAACAACTGCTTGTGTTGGATGCAGGCGGTAGAGTTGTGGTGGTTGACAGTGATGGCAAACACTTCTCAATGAAACATATGATTCATCCTAAATGTTATGTTGTAGCCACGGAATTCTGGCCTTACTCACCGCAGTACTGGATAAATCTTGCTACGTATCTCCTCAAAGATTTTAACACACATTTCTTGGTGCCTTAGTAGAGGGTCACGATCTAAGCATGCAGGAGCCTTGCATGCTGTGTGCTGATATCCTATCCGCTGCGCTCTGGCCCAAGGCCCCAGCTCAACTCTTTGCTTTGGTGCTGGAACCTCAAGACACAGCTACATCGATCTGATCTTGTAACCCATCGATCAGCACTGATCTTTGCAAACTGCGGGTGACCTATATATATGTATATAAATATAAGAACCGCAGGTACATCTATTTGTAAACAATTTTACCTTCAAAATTCTTGGCTTCCAAAAATATAAGGACAGGATAACCTCACATGTTAAGCTTGTAAGAACTACAGTATCAACGAGAAGTAGAGACTGATAAGGAAAGAGGACGGAAAGATACTGGACGATAAACGTGAATTAGATGAGTGGTGTGTGGTGAGTGGTGTGTGATGAGTGGTGTGTGAAGAGTGGTGTGAGATGAGTGGTTTGTGATGAGTGGTGTAAGATGAGTGGTGTGTGATGAGTGGTGTGTGATGAGTGGTGGGTGATGAGTGGCTGCCGCGCCCACGCGTTCCGCAGCTCCTCCTGAAGGCTCTGTGTACTGTGCCTGCCACACGGAAGGCACGCGCGGCCCAGCGGCGCCCACGCGTTCTCCTGAAGGCTCTGTGTACTGCGCCTGCCACACGAAAGACACGCGCGGCCCACCGGCACCCACGCGTTCCGCAGCTCCTCCTCAAGGCTCTGTGTACTGTGCCTGCCACACGAAAGGCACGCGCGGCCCAGCGGCGCCCACGCTCGCCGCAGGTGGTCCGGGAGGCTCTGTGTACTGTGCCTGCCACACGAAAGCCACGCGCGACCCAGCGGTGCCCACGCGCGCCGCAGCTGGTCCGGGAGGCTCTGTGTGCTGCGCCTGACACGAAATCTGCACTTCGAGGCTCACTAAGTACTGCCTGCCACGAATGAGTTGGCTGTGCGTCAAAACCCCCGGTCCCCGGTGAACATCAGCACAGATTCTGTTGAATGGGTATTGAGCAGGGAACATGTTCAATGGGTATTGAACAGCTGGAACTGTAGGAGGGCATCCCTAGCAAGAATTCCTTTCCCCCTTCCCCATTCCCATGGTGCACACCTGTGTGTGTGTGTGTCACCACTCGTCTCTGGAGTTACTAAGTACAGTCCACAGCAGCAGGATGCAGGAGCCCACTGCAAAACTCCTGCCCACGAAGACACTTGCAATTGGCGGTGATGCCAGACCTGATCAATCTGGTGTACCTACAGTTTTCCCAATTTGATAACCTTATCGTCATGTACAGTGCGCGCGCCGCTGCAACACTCCAATCAGTTTTGTGTTCTTCCTCTGTTGTGTGTTATTTCATCCTCTGCGCAGTCTAGTCCAGCTTGAGGCCCCAAACCCTCCACAGCACAAGGGACGCAAGGGTTGTACCATACCAAGGATTGCAAGGGGGATCCCTGGATTCTGATCAGCCCTGATGGACCCTGGCAGCTGCTCTGCATTTGTTTTTCCTCAAGCAGAACCATTTGTGGAATCACTGTCACTGCCAGAGCTGGAGGAAGAACGACAAGAAAAAATGACTCGTTCTCGTCGGTCCTTAGCTCTTTTCCGGGCTTGCTGCTGCTCTTGCTTCAGCAGCCTGGAGCCTGTGTCACTCTTGCGGCTCGCCAGGAAAGTCTTTGCAGGTTTTTGGTGTTCGAGGCGCCTTTGAAGTAGAGGCTCTGGCAATGGATCCGTCTCAGGCTTTTCTTGCCGATATGACAGACGCCAATCGTCAGCAGCAGGCACCTTCTCAATGCAACGAGCAGTGCCACCAGAAATGCCCAGTTCTGCTTGGAAACATCTGTCAGAATAGATGAAATTTTTCAAACGAACCTGGAATGCAGGACCGCTAATTCGCTTCAAACCAACGCAATAAGTATATTCTATCTTCAAGTCGGCGCTGGCAGCATCCAAGTACAAGAATGTCTTGGGGAACTCTGGTCGGAAGTGGTTGATGTTGTACTCTGGGCCCGCAGGTGGTGGATCTGAGCGCATTGTCTCTGCTGCCCCTTCCTTCAAGGCCGCAAGCAAATCCTCCACTGTCGAAATGGTCTTTCGCATTGCGTAGTCTTGGATCCACCGTCTCTGAAGGCCAAATTGACCATCGTTGCGGCCTTTACCATGATGCTCGGTAAAATAATGAAAGAAAACATTGCTCAAGTGCCCATACTGCTTTAGCAGCTGAATACCTGCGCCAACAAAGGCATAGGCCCTGTAGTGCGGGCCGCAGTCGGTCCAAATATGCACATGCTTATAGGCTGGGTCAAGGGCCAGCCGCTTCCAAATATCAAGCAGCGCTGTGGCGGCGTGCAAAGCAGTGTGGTCCAAAATTTGCGAAATGTAATGGAAATATCTCCGGACCTGTGCGCTGCCCCTGTTGTACCGCACATAGATTCCCAGAGTGGACAAGCTCAAACGGGAAGTTGCCCAAAACCATGTTTGCTCCTCAGTCGGCCCCAGCGGAATGGTCAAATTCTCTGCGTAATCCATTTGGATCAGCACTGAGTCTTCGGGCATCTCTTCCTCCCATTGTTCTCGGCAAATATGCTGCCTCTGCACACTGTGGAAATGATGCTCGCAGACTTCGAGGGTGGATTGCAACTCCTTGAGCTGGGTTAAAGCAACCAGCTCGGCTTCTCGAAGCTGGAAAAGATTGGCTAGTTCCTCTGCAGTTCTGTTGGCCGTTCGCTCCCTCAATCTAGCTGCCATAGCGTTGTCAATGAACTGCCGTGCTCCCTTGACATATTGCAAGCTAGCCTCACCATCCTTACAGCAACAACTTGCATGGCTATTGCCCCTACAATGCCCCACAACACGAACATCCTTCTTAGGGGTACAGGGCCACAGTGGAACCTGAGCGGGGTCAAAATGGCACAAGCAAGTGTTTACTAATGAGCCCAGCTTCCGGGTCAGCTCGCCCAATCTTTTGCATGTTTTCCCAGTGAACCCGCATAGGCTCGAAGTACGAAGGCTGCACTGCTTTCACTCCATGCAGTGCCCGCTCCACCCCCTTGGAAATCTTTGGGGCAACGAGTTTGTCATACTTGTGGCAGATAGGGCACATATCTACCTTTTTCTTGAACTTCCGGAACTGTGGGTGGTGGACTTTCAAGCGCCGCAGCCAAACGGACAAAGACATGGCTTTCTGCATGTCCACGTTAAGCTTCCACAGTCTCCGCTTGCTGCGGCAAAGAGACCGCACACTGACCATCTCATGCTTGACTCTCATGAAGTGCGCAGTGACCGTGGAATTGGACAGAAGAAATTCACGAACTTTTTGTCTAAGTTCGGGATCATTGACCTTGGACGGCCTTCCACCCTTTTTAGCCCCAGGCTTCAGCACAGCTACGCTTCTCCACAATCGGCGGCCAACCTTGAGGTTCAATGTGGACTCAACTTTCTCTTTGTCCTTCAAAACCCTTCTGCCAGACGCTACCAAAGCTTTCCTAAGAGGATCCGCTGCCGATTCCGCACCGATCTGCACCGCCAAATCCTGGGCCACCAATGCTTGCTGAGATTCTGGAGTTCCAATGTCTGTTTGGCCAAGCTGAAGTAGCTCCTTCTTTTCATCTGTTTGAAGCAAAGACCAGATCATCTTAGCCACCGAACGCTCCGTTCCCACACATTCCGCCCTATATTTTGCCAGCGCTTCCTGAAAGCCCTTCTTGTACACCACCAGCCGCCTGCCCTTCGTAGTGCGACAAAACGGCTTCGCTTTTGGGGCCATGGACGGACCTCTGGCTTGGTGGGATCTGCAGGACTATTGAACGGGTATTGAACAGGTATTGAGCGGGCATTGAACGGGGCACCACTATGACAACCCAGAAATCACAGACAGAAAAGAGTTGGTGGATTTGATGTGGTCCGAATGCCTTCTTGGAAGGGATTTGGAAGGCTGCAGCAATCAATGCACAAGAGGAAGTGTCTCAACGACAAGAAGCTGCGCGAAATGCTCTGTAGAACGTATGCCTCTACACTGTCTTAGGCAGAGTGCTCCCCTACCATGTTCCCCAGCACGATGCATGTTCGTGGGCTCCCTACATGGACACCAAATTCAGCTCTCACGCGCAAGGTCCAGTGGAGTACTTAGAACATTCGCCCAGGCCACTGTTGATATATATGGCCTCAACAAAACACCTATGTCAATGTGTGTGTGTGTCTGTGTGTCTGGTGCGCGCAATTGAAATGAAACGATCGTGCTTCTGCAGTGGAACGCACCTTTCTTTCCCCGGTTTGGTCTTGACAGTCTCGACTAGATTCACACTAGTATGAACTAGTCTGTACAAGGAATACCCCTGGCTTCCCCAACACAGATCGTGCTCCAGCACAGCACGCTTAGCTTGGAGCTGACTTTCGCTTTGTGCCTTTCCGGCCTGTCTTGGTTGTGTTCTCACTGTTTGTTTCATCTTCTTGCGCAGCCAATTCAGCAGCAGAGGCCCTCTGCTGCGTGGATTCGCGTCGGATTGCAGCAAGCTGTTCTTTGCTAAAATCTTCTAGGCGCCCTGCCCCTTTCAAACCAAGATGTCGCCGACCATGGTGGATCAACAGCGCCCGACAGTATCCACAGGCAGCTCCGTGGCTACTTTTGGCATCTTTGAGCCGAGGTTGTTTCTCCAAGCCACAGCACTTGCACTCCGTGCACTTTTGCCACTCTTTCTTCAACACATTGCCACCTTTGAAAGCCTGCCGCAAGGGTTTCTCGGCAGGCGTCCACTCGAAACATGGTTGCGCCCCTGCTTTGCAAGGGGTGGCTGGAGTGTCCTCACAAATCACGAGCTTCACAGGTAAAAAGCCAGGGAAAAAGAAACCACACCAGTTTGGGAAAAACCTCGCAAAGCGTCAAGAGACTCGAGCCAAGCAGCTTTGGCAACTGCAGCTGCCTCCTGAACACGAGGCCGCTCGTCTGCCAAGGGTTGTCTACTGACCTTCTCAATCTCTGCAGTCTCCTTGTTACCCTCTTCTGGCATCGAAGGCTCAACGAGATCTGCGGCTTTTGATGCTGGCTCGCTCTCTTTGACAACTTGTTCCTGAGATGGGTTCTGTTTCTTGTCCCCCATGGGCGGTAAAGACTCAAAAGGATTGCCGGCAACTTTTTCATCCACCTGGCTCACCGCAGGGGTCATAGAAAGAGACTGCTCACCATCAAGCTGGCCATTCTCAGGCACCATCTCTCCCTCCTTCTCCTTTACGCTTGGCATGGGGCCCTCTTTGGCAACTTGTTCCTGAGATGGGCTCTCTTTCTTGTCCCCCATGGTGGTAAAGGCTCAAAAGGATTGCCGGCAACCTTTTCATCCACCTGGTTCACCGCAGGGGTCAAAGGAAGAGACTGCTCACCATCAAGCTGGCCATTCTCAGGTACAATCTTCCCCTCCTTCTCCTTTACACTTGGCATGGGGTCTGCTGCCACCGGTGTCTGTTCTACTTCTTTGCCCACGCAGCTGCCACATTTCTCGCACACCTGGCAAGGGAATCAAAGCAAATCATCTATCAATATGTACCAGTACCTATCCAATGCAACAGGCAAAACTAACATTACCAAATTTGTTCTTTTTCAAGCCCTGCCAAGACAGAGCTGCCACCATGCAGCTTGCGAGCAATGAGCGCCCGGACTTCCAGGTCAAGGCTCCCGTCTGGGACGTGCAAGTTCAATTTGACCGCGTGCTCCAACAAGTCGGGCTTTGGAAGGCGAACCAGCTGGCTTAGCGATGGAATTTTCATTGCCACGCCGGAAAGCACAAAAAGTGTTACATATATATATATATATTGATTCAATGTCAACTGCCCACTGTCTACTGCTTGAATCCTTGTTTATGTCAACCCAACTCTTGGAAGTGAGAATTCCCGTGACATATCATGAGACCACATGCAGAATCAGGATTGTGAATACTTTCATTCTGTCTTGAAGTGGTTCCCCACACACAATGATACATGTTTGAGATAGAGCTAGACGCGAGAGAAACAATGGCAGGACATGCAAGCTTGGTATGGTAGTGTGGCATCACAAGATCCAAGATTGAGATCCCATTTAGTGGAATGGACAAGTGTGATTGTGAAACAAGGGTATTGAACAAGGGGTATTGAACATGAGAAATGATTTTGTTCAATAGGCATTGAACGGGGTATTGATCAGCATGTTCGCCTGTAGGTGTTCCATACCAAAACCTTTTGACTCACACCCAGTTGGATGTGATGATGCATGTGATGAGTGAGAGCGAGATGAGCTGGATGTGATGAGTGGGATGTGATGAGTTGTGTGAGATGAGTAGATGAGTTGTATGAGATGAGTTGAGTTGTGTGGTGATGAGTGGTGTAAGATGAGGAGGTGTGTGATGTTGTGTAAGATGGGTAGTGTGGTGTCAGACGGGGCGGAGGGCGGACGCGGAGCGGCTGGTGGGGCGGCGGGTGCAGAGCGAAAAACAAGAACCCCACACAGTGATGTGGGGAAACATATAGGAACCAAATCAGCGGCGGGAAGAGCTTCCTTGAAGAAGCATGAGATATTTTGTGTCCAGTTAATTGCTAGAAGCTTAAGTAGCTAGGAGCGTATTCCCTTACTTAATTAAGTAGGGGGCTACTTAATCAAGTAAGAGCAGGCTAACAACGAAAAGAATGATCATTCCTCGTCCCTGTGGTCAGTTGCCCTATCTGCTGAGCGACTCGATGCAGCGGCTAAACATCGGGGGGCTCCACTCGCCAAGGTTCCCCAAGGCCTCAGCAAGTGAGACTAATTTGACTCTGAGGTCCAAGGTGTGCCGATCATGACAGCAAAAATCCTAGTAGCGTTCTTGTTCCTAGTAGGGATGCCCTTTGTTCCTAGTAGCGTCCTTGTTCCTAGTAGTAAGGCCAGGAGCCCCTAGTAGCGTCCTTGCAGGAAAAATCCTCTACCCATAAATTAGCTGTTTTTCTTCATGTGCTCTTGAGGGCCTTGAGCAGCAAACTGGGCTTGTTCAACCGTTCATCTCCCTCGATTGCTAAACTGTGTGCGTTCTTTGAAGGTCACCCAGCAAGAAAAGCGATCCTGACGATTCTCTATAAAGGGAAAGGTTAGATTGGCCAAGCTGTCTGTTTCAGCAGACTTCCCAACAGCAGAGACGATTGCTGGTAAAGAGCTTGCAGGAAGGACGATGTGGAATGCTGGACGTGGCTATGACGGCGATGACCGCCTTATCGTTCGCCGTGACGGCGTCGGGGTGCCCCAACGCCACGGCAGTGCTTCGCTTCGACAGCAAAGACATAGCCATGGCTCTTGGGGATAGCCACAACCTCAGTGGGCAAAATGCTGGAGGAAAAAATCCAATCCGCATGGAACTCATCGATTCCCTCTGGTTTTGATCGTATCACCAGGCCTTATGACCTTATGACGATTTCTGCCACAAGAAGCATCAATCCACCTTTCAACACATCTAACAATCAAGTTTGCTGTTCATCCCTCAAAATTTGACGAGGATTTGCCGCAGCTTTTTGGCTTCTTCGGGACCGGAAAACCTGCATGGCAGCAATTGGCACGCCAGGCCACGTTGACTTCGGCTTCGAGAGTCTGCGGCAGTTCATTCTTCTCCTTGAAGCCCTGGGCTTCGGCCAAACAATGATGAACACCAAACTTGATATTTCGGCGTCTATTTAATTTGTATCTATTTGTAGTGACATTGTAGTGTCTTGGATCACTCAAAGGGGTTTGCTGACAAATTCCTTCCATTTCGCTGCGCAATTAATCATTTAGGTTCTTTACTGTTAGAACTTGCCCGGGCACCCGGACACGCTCAGCCGGATCCAGTGGTTGAATATGAGCCTGGGCGATATGAATGGGCACTCTCTTTTCTTGTTTCAAATAGCGATGGCCTACAAGCGACTAGCGATGGCCTGCAAGCTACTAGCGATGGTCTCCAACCTACTAGCGATGGCCGCGATGGCCTCCAGCCTACTAGCCATGGCCTCCAGCCTACTATCGATGGCCTCCAACCTACCATTGGCCTTCAGCCTACAAGCGATGGCCTACAACCTAATAGTGATGGCCTCCAACCTACTAGCGATGGCTCCAACCTACTAGCGATGGCCTCCAACCTGCTAGCGATGGCCTCCAACCTACTAAGCGATGGCCTCCAGCCTACTAGCCATAGCCTCCAGCCCACTAGCGATGGCCTCCAACTTACTAGCGACATCTAGCATTGGCCTTCAGCCTACAAGCGATGGCCTCCAACCTAATAGCGATGGCCTCCAACGTACTAGCGATGGCTCCAACCTACTAGAGATGGCCTCCAACCTACTAGCGATGGCTTCCAACCTACTAGCGATGGCCTCCAGCCCACTAGCCATGACCTCCAGCCTAGTAGCGATAGCCTCCAAGCGATGGCCTCCAACCTAATAGCGATGGCCTCCAACCTAATAGCGATGGCTCCAACCTACTAGCGATGGCCTCCAACCCACCAGGGATTGCCTCCAACCTAATAGCGATGGCCTTCAACCTACTAGCGATGGCCTCCAACCTACTAGCGATGGCCCCCAACCTACTAGCCATGGCCTCCAACCTACTACCGATGGCCTCCAAACTACTCGCAATGGCCTCCAACCTACTAGCGATTGCCTCCAATCTACCAG